CAATTGAAGCTTTTTTTCATGGCTGGTCGAAGCAAAACCGAGACATAGTTGTAGCAAAAAATATTGTGGCCGATAGCTGCCGGTTGTAGCTCGCCGTGCAGATCCCAAAACACGGCTGTCGTCATGGGAACAAATTTCAATGTTGGTTGTAGCAAAAACGTGGTCACGATTGTAGCAAAAAACTTCATGGCCGCTGCCATGCTCGCACCCGGTTGAAGCTTTTTTCCACGCTGATTGAAGCTTTTTTTTTCACGCTGACTGAATCTTTTTCCACCCGTGGGCGCTCGTGCACGGGTTGAACGAACGACGACGACTGCCAATGAACGCCATCTAAACGGATGTAGCAAAAATCCTCGCAGGTTGTAGCAAAAAACAGGTACTGTTGGAGCAAAAACGTCGCTCACACAAGGACCACCGGCGTAGCATGCAGCACGCGACGAAGCCAGTTGTAGCTAAGTAGTGTGTGGGTGGTAGCAAAATGTGACATCGGTTGTAGCATGCAACAAAAAACACGACATTTACAAAATTCTTTCAGGACAACGCCGCCATCCTCGCAACTCGCGGTCACCTTGCTCGCCTCCGTGGATGACAAATGAAAAGCTGCAAACGGCGGTTACGAAAGCTATAACCGGCATTGAAAAAAGCTTCAAACTTCTTGTCTAGCTGCGACCTCCGCGACGATGATGATGCAGTTTTGCTGCAACCATAGTCGATGTTTGCTACAACCGGTGATGGAATTTGCTACATCCATTTCACAGCTGGTGCTACTGCTCCGCTGAGCTCCCACGCCCGCCCATGACCATCACCGCCGTGGCGCCGTTCTGAGAGGTGCCTGACGACGCAGTGGCCGAGATCCCTGCGCGATGCTCATCCTCGCTCGTGCGCGCCGCCATGGCCTGCGCCTCCTCGTATCATCCCCGCGATTCCTCCGCGGCCATCAGTCGACGGCGCGACCATGGCGATGAGCGCAGCCATGGAAACCGCACGGCAGCGTTGTCTCTGAGGGGCGCACGAACAACACAGGAGGCAGGAGCTGATCGCCGGCCTGGATCCATGGAGTTTCCTGCCTGGGCGAATGCGAGGAAGAAAGAGTGGATGGGGTGTTGGGGAGAGGATAAGGTACACGTGTTGCCTTCCTGGTGGCTAGCGCCAGCGAGGCGAAAGCGACCGGCCAGAGTGTTCCGTCGGCGCACCGCGCGTACCTTCATTTTTCGAAGACAAGCATTGCAAGCCATCCTTGCGCCGTGATTACACCATTGTATGGTTCTTTGATTTCTCTCTTTTGTATGATATAAAATGTAAACAAAAGGTAATATCTACACTACTATATAGTGTGTGAATAACTTTTACTATTGGCCGTTGGATGAAACCCATCTAATGGCTGACAGGTGACAGATGAGAGTAGTATTGGTTGTTAGATATTCTATTCACTATAGTACTACACTAGATTTTGCCACATGTAATATCCAGAAGATTCTACTTGAGCTTAGACACAATCGTAATATGCACAAAGCTCAAAACAAAGATGCTTCTCCTTTGCTCTAGATTCTTCCATACTTCAATTCTCCAACTTTTTTAATAAGATATTCATTGTTCATTTTTATATCATTTACATTGCATAATATGAACAAAATGCAACCATTTCTCATTTATCTAGATTCTTCCCCCAATTTTTTTCTTACAAAATAATTGACATGTGTTTTTACTATATGATTTTTTGTTTGTTTTGTTTCAAATATGTGGCAACATCTCCCTAAAGTTCACTTTGTCTTTGTATTTGACATTAGTTTTGTGTAGTATATGCCACACAATCATCAAACATTCTATACTCATAATTTAATTTTAATGGATTGAGCGTTCAAACTTAAACCTATATCGTGTACTTCATCGTCCATGACTCCAAATTTATATGTTTTGCCTATTATGACGTGGTAAATCGGTATCCGTCCGCACTTACTCTCACGTGCAAGGCACATGTAACTTACTAGTGATTACTAGTAGCTTCTTTTTGGGGGGCTCTCGAGTTGTTGATAATTTTCTTTTAGGCTTGTTGAGTGTTGTTTGTGACTTCTAGATTTGTAACAAGCCTCCTATTAGTGAGAATATTATCAAAGCAATGGTTGAGATAGAGAACATTGTCAGACAACTAATTTGCATAAATGCATGATTGTTTAACCCCTACAGTCGAAAATAAGTGGTCTTAGTACATTTTGCTATGTTTCTCTTAGTGCATAGTACTTCCTTTGTAAACACATTCTTTCTATTGAACGGACTTTACGAGCACAATCTTGTGGGAAAATAAAGATTGGAACTATAGTCAATCTACACAAAACTTACATATTTTAAGCCTCCTTGTTTGTTAGATTGCAATATGGGTTCGTATTTGTCAAGTGTTTTTTGTTATTCCTAAATCATCACTTTACACATTGTCAAGTTTGACAGTTATGGCTATGTAGATG